GGTAAGCCACATAATTCTAAGAAACACATCTATGTTCAGGTGCCTATTAATAAGCCAACCATTATTAAGCCGATAAATTTGTCTCAGATTCATACTGCTGTAGAGAATAGTCATGACAAAGACAAACAGAACCAAGTGAACATTGGTGGACCTACGGGTATTCTGGAAGTCGATAATACAGTGGATGACGTTGTTATGGTTGATGACATAGATAAAACATTGGCTTTGGTCAGTGAGGCGAAAAACAATTTTGCAGATGCAGAATGTATTGGCAATACTCAAAGGAATTCAGTTGAAGAAATCCCTGAAACTAATCCAGAGCTACAACAATATCTGATGTTCCTCAATGCTTCTTGGAATAACATGGTCCACCAGGAGATGGTAAAGCAAGGCATTGGTGATAATGGTTTGAACTCCTTGGGGGTAGACGACGATGGCTTTGTGAAAGTGAAGTCTAAATCCAAGAAAAAGAAGCAGAAAACAATGCTTTGAGAGATAATTACAAGACAAGGTCTAGGCCTGGTAGTGCGTCTAATACTCCATGAATTGTTTATTTTGGAATGCGAGAGGCTTAGCCAACTCTCCAACAAAATTGGCGCTAAAAAGGTTAGTTTTGAATTACAAACCTCAGTTTGTTTTTATCGCGGAACCGTGGATGGATAAGGATCACTTCTCTATGTCCTGGCTCCGTAGGTTAAATCTCAAGTTCTTCGCTGTAAATAGTAGGGAATATTTGCTTCCAAACCTTTGGTGTTTATGTGATTCTAGCATCAATCCAAATGTGATTCACATAGATGACTAACAGGTATCTTTTTCTGTGTTGGTTAATGGCATTTCTATTGGTATCTCGGCCGTTTATGCATCTACCAGCTACATAACTCGCAGAAATCTGTGGAGCTCTCTGCAGAATATTCTTCACACTTATCAAATGCCTTGGAGTTTCATAGGTGATTTCAACACTATACTTGGTGCTCACGAGTATGATGGTTCTTTTAGGCCTGCGAGAGGCCCGATGGAGGAGTTTGCTGACTGGACAGATTACAACCATTTGGTCCATATGCCTACTGTTGGTGTTAAGTTTACTTAGGCTAATGGTAGAGAGGGTAGGCAGCATACTCGTAAACGTCTGGATCGTGTTATTTGCAATCAGGATTGGGTTAGTCTGTGTGCTCAATCTTCCTGCTCCACTCTTAACAAATCTCGGTCTGATCATTACCCCATTTTATTACACTTTAACTTTCAAGAGTTCAAGTTCAAATCTCACTTTCGTTTTATGCAAATGTGGACATCGCATCCTGACTGCATTAAAGTGGTGGAAGATGCTTGGAAAACTAATTTTGTTGGTTGTCCGACGTTCGTTCTGGCAGCAAAGTTAAAATTTCTCAAGGAGAAGCTTAAGGTGTGGAACAAAGAGTGTTTTGGAAATGTGCAAGACAATGTCAAGAAGGCTGAGTTAGCTCTGGAAAATATTCAGCATCATATTGACACAGACGGCCATACCGATGTTCTGGCTCAGCAAGAGAAAGTGGCGAAAGCTCGGCTGGAACAGGCTCTTAATATTGAGGAGCTCTTTTGGAAAGATAAAGCTCGTGTTAACTGGAACTTACACGGGGACCGGAACACGAAATATTTTCACAGGATTACTAAAATCAGAAACTCATCAAATCTCATTCACTCTATGAAAATTGATGGGGTCACCACCACCAATCAAAATCTGATTGCGGACCATGTAGTCTCTCACTTTGAGAATTTATTTGACAATTCTTCTATTTTGCAGGACAATTCGCTGGTAGAGGATGTTATTCTGAAGTTAGTGACTGATCAAATTAACTCGTTGCTAACGTCGCTCCCATCTGCTGAAGAAATTCGCAGTGTCGTTTTCAATTTAAATAGGGATAGTGCTGTTGGGCCTGACGGCTTTGGTCCTATTTTCTATCGAACGTTTTGGGGCGTTATTAAAGAAGATGTTATCAAGGCCATTCTTCAGTTTTTTAAGGACGGGTGGTTGGCTCCTAATTATAATTCCAACACTTTGGTTTTGACTCCGAAAGTAAAGGAGGCGGATAGCATTGACAAATTCCGACCTATTTCTATGGAAAATTTAAAATTTAAAATCATATCCAAAGTTCTTGCGGATAGGCTCGCTAAAGTGCTTGCTCAGCTGATTTCCAAAGAGCAGCGGGGTTTATTAGCGGGCGCAGCATAAAGGATTGTATTTGTCTTGCTTCTGAGGTGGCTAATGTGATTCATAAAAAGTCTCTTCGCGGTAACGTTATGCTCAAGATTGACATTGCCAAGGCATTTGATACACTTAATTGGAAGTTTGTGTTAAAAGTTCTTAAGAAGTTCGGGTTCAATGATTTATTCTGTTCTTGGATTACTTTGGTATTGGAATCGGCCAAAATTTCGGTGGCTTTTAACAGAGAACTTATAGGCTTTTTTGGTTGCAAGAGGGGGGTTAGGCAAGGCGATCCACTGTCACCTCTCCTTTTCTGTCTTGCAGAGGATGTTCTGAGTCGAGGGTTATCTCATTTGGTTGATACGAATAGGCTGAAATGTATCAAAGCTTGCAGGAATATGGTGTTTCCTTCTCATACTCTTTACGCTGACGACATCTTGCTTTTCACTCAAGGTATTTCTTCTTCGTTGGAAGCCATTGCGGAGCTGTTGGATCGTTATGCTTCATGTTCTGGGCAGGTCTGCAATCCGGCCAAATCCTTTATTTATGCAGGTTCTATGGCTGCAGCGCGACATGAATTCTTGGCTAGCAGTCATGGTTTTAAATTAGGTGTTCTCTCGTTCCTTTATCTTGGGGTTCCCATCTTCAAGGGTAGACCCAAAGCTGCTTTTTTTCAACCGGTTGCAGATAAAATTCGCGTTAAATTAGCGGCTTGGAAAGCTAGTTTACTTTCTATAGCCGGAAGAGTTCAACTAGTTAATTCGGTGATTCACAGTATGTTGCTATTTTCTTTCCGCATTTACTCTTGGCCGGTTAGTTTGATCACTCAAATTGAAACTTGGTGTCAGAATTTTATATGGAGTGGTGATATTAATCAAAGAAAGATGGCTACGGTGGCATGGAAAGTTTGTTGTCAGGACCGTAAGGATTGAGGGTTGGGTATTCGCTCTCTTCGTGTTCTTAACAAAGCAATTCGTTTGGTTCAGTGCTGGTGTATTATGAATGAGATTGACACTTGGGCTTCGATTGTAAAAGCTAGAGTTTTAAGGAAAGGCTCGGTGCGTAAAACACATGTTTTCTCGTCTGTTTGGACAGGTTGTGCTGAATTTTTGGAAGACTTACTGCAGAATTCTATGTGGATGATTGGAAAGGTCAATAAAATTAATTTATGGTGTGACAACTGGTGCGGAAGTCCCTTGAGTTCATCGCTTCATCTTTCGGAAGCTCAGCTGGCGCTGCTGAAGGCTGATCTAAGCTCCATTTTAAGCGGCAATTCATTTAACTTGCCGCCGGGGCTGATCAGTTTTTGTCCTGAGCTGCCACGGATGGTGGAAAATATTTATGTCAATTGTTTGAAGGAAGATTGGCTCGCTTGGTCCAGGTCTAAAAGCGGAGATATCACTGTCAAGGATGCGTATTCTTACTGCAAGCATATCGGAAATACTTGTGTTTGGGGCAATTCCATTTGGCACTCAAACATCCCTCCTTCTCATTCTATTTTATTTTGGAGAGTTATAAAGAATCGTGTTCCTATGGATGACGTGCTCCGGCATTGCGGTATAGAAGGCCCTTCTATTTGTAACCTCTGTTTACATATAGAAGAAAATATCAATCACCTATTCTTTCAATGTGACTATTCCCGAAGGATCTGGAATTGGCTACGCGATATGCTTAATGTTAATGTTAGCTTTTCAGATATGCAGGATTGTTTCATTGCAATGCATAAAACTGGTGTTGCGCAATGTATGGTGGTGTACCGTGCTTCGATTATTGTTGTGGTTAATAGCATTTGGCGGGCTCGAAATCAAGCTCGGTTTCAAAACAGGTTTATTCCTTGGAGAACTACATGTTCATCTATTTATGCTACTTCCCAGCTGGCTGGAAATTCTTTCAAAGGAGCATCTTCTATGGACATTGGGGATTTTCAAGTTCTGAAAAAGTTTTCTATTTCCATTAATCCGGTTAATCCCAAGATGTGTGTCGAAGTCATTTGGAATCCTCCCCCAAATGGTTGGATTAAAGTCAACATTGATGGAGCATCCGGCGGTGATCCAATAAACGCGGCTTGTGGGGGGATCTTTAGAGATCACTTCGGAAATCACATTGAAAATTTTGCTTGTAATTTAAGTGTTAATTCTCTGTTTGCTGAGTTGATGGGAGCTATTTTGGCTATTAAGCATGCTTTAGTTCGTGGTTGGTCAAATATTTGGCTAGAATCGGATTCAACTCTTGTTGTGATGGCGTTCAGTAAACCATCTGTTGTGCCCTGGAAGATCAGGAATAAATGGGACAACTGTACGGCTACCCTTGGTAATTGTAACTTTTTGGCTTCTCATGTTTTCAGGGAAGGTAACCATTGTGCCGATAAATTGGCTAACATAGGTTTAAATATCTCTAACTTTACTTGGTAGAATGATGTACATTGGGATATAGAACCGGACTTTTGTAGAAACCGATTAGGTTTATCTAATTTTAGAATCAGATAGGTTTGAGGTTTAGGCTCTATGTCCCCCTCATTTTTGTACCTCATGACATTTTTAGATCCATTAATTTACAAATTAAAGCACATTTTTTTAAGGGTTATGCCTTAATTAAATTGCCTTTTTTTTTTAATTGAAATGAACTTTTAAAGGAAGAAAAAATAGTATTTAATAAAATGTCAATGAAGGGCCATGTTTTTGCAAGGCTCAAAAGAACAAATATTTCCATCTTTTTTTACACTTTTCAAAGCTACATTGGTATCCTACAAAACTCTTGTATATTTATAGATCTTAATAGAATGGTTTGCAAAGAAATAGAGTTTGGGATTGCTCCTCATAACTCATGCTACTTGACTACTAGAGTTGTGATTACCTAGAAACTCATCACAATTTGTTTCCTCACACAGACACTCATGAGGGTTGGCATAGAAATAGTCCTCCTCTTTCGGTCTGTCGATTATAACTGTACGCCGAGTTGGCCTCACAGTTCTCTTTTCATGAACTTGTTTCACATTATCAGCGAATTCTTTCCATTTAAGGGTTCCGTTTTGATGCATGTCAACCAATTCCACGAGCTTTTTTCGATCCAACAAGATCGTTTTCCTGAATTTGGAATACCTGCAAACGGTTGAATTAGTGAAACGTAAACACATGTCATTATTAATGCAGGGAATCTGGATCCGTAGGGTAGATATATACCTGCGATGGCCTTCAACGAGTCTTGCCATGTTCCCGTCGTAAGTAGGAATAAAGGTGTTACTCGCAACTGAAACCATAAAATCCAAGGCTGCCATCTGAGATGAATGGTTCTGGAAATACTGTAAATCATCACGATCTAGCAACATTTCCTTTTTCACCTGAATTTGAAAATGCGGAAAGTCAGTTTGTGGAGAGAAAATGTGTCATGTAAAGCAGGTCCAGCCATTAAAGACTGCGGCAACAAGTTTCAACAGTTGTGCAATATAGTGTTCGAAAACTCACAAGTTGAGGAAATGCTGCTCTTAGTTGTGCAAGCCTACGTTCGCCACCATAAATCTCGCCAGCTGCAATGTAAATCTGTGTCTCCCTACCAAAACCTAGGGCTTGAAGAACTAAGGCCGCCTCCTCGGGTGTCAGAGGACATAGACCCTGTGATCTCCTATCTTCAGAAACTATCTCCTTTTCTCTCCACCAAGGGAACGCATACCTGAATTACGCGATGCGTAAACAACATTATATCTCAAATAGATATCTCACAGAATGTTAGATCACAAGTAAAATAAAAAGACCTCATTCTTTTGAGCTCCTCGGCTTCTTTATCCGTGCAGCCCTGAGTACAACCCGAGAAAGCCAACATATCCATCTCATATCTAAGATGCAATGCCACAAAAGGTCCCTTCTCATGAAGCATCTGAATCAATCTGCGCCCCAAATTCTCAATTTGAGGAGTGAATTTAATCGCCTGGTAATTGACACGGCACCTGAGTTTCTGAAGATCAAGTGGGAGACCGTTATTAGCTAGACGCGTATCAGTTTTGTTGAAGTGTAACACCTTATGCTTTCTAAAAAGTGGCAGAATCTGCAGTGCCGAGTCAATAACATTGGATTAAACAAAATGTATATACTTTTATACACTCAACGAAGTGCAACTCATAAAAGAAGCACACCTGCTCCAAGTAATATTTTTCGTTCGACCAGCTAACAGGAGGCATCTCCAGGCTAGTATGTCCATATTTACTACTAAACTTTTTAGGAACTCTTTTCACTATTCGAACTTGATCTCTCAAAGAATTAATGAAATGTTTCACATCAAAAATGTCTTCAAAATTACTGCAAAAAGAAAACTACCGAACTTTAAAATGACAACGAGGTTATATTAGAGGATACTCAAAAAAAAAAGTCATCAGAACAAAGTATATACCTAGGGTCTGCCCAGAACGATGTCTTATCAAGCTCAGGCACGACCAATGTGAGATTCAACAATCGAGCAATTGTCACCATGTCACATATCTGAAATATTATACCTCTAAATGAGTATTCAAGCTTATGATATGATACAAACAGTGAAATGTTAAAATATGGAGTACAAACCGCAGCACGCATTTGATTCAAGCCACCATTGCAGGAAACTCTTAGAAAGCCATTACTTGTATAATTTCCTGTAATTTGTATGATCAAAAAGCTTTAATATTTACCAATATGAATGAGAAAATAAAAGTAACAAGCAATTATAGATATTCTATAGCCATCCATCAGACATGTATATCAATAAGCACTGGTTTAAAGAATCGCTATAAAGCAATTCATTTTTAGCCGGAAATCATGAAAATTAATCGCGACCCTTAGAATCTTCTAAGATTGAGATATGATTTTCTCTCAATCCGTAACTTATCTTGTTCCCATTATCTTGGAGAGCTTAAGGCGCAATGAAGCATGAACACCCTAAACACGACACTGACACGGAGACACCGATAATAATTTGAAAAAACTGGATAAATTAAACGTAATCACAAGTGTCAAACGTATTCACAAGTGTCAGTGTCTGTCAGACAGTGTCCACCGACACGGACACACCTCTTTTCATAGGCCAGTGCTACAGAGCTAAGGTGTACATCATCATTCATGCTCCCAACAAGTTTCACAATCCACAATTTCAACATTAAAACAATCACAGAACCCCAAAAAATAAATAATTCACTAACACAAATACAATTTGCACCTGCATTCAATTAATCATCACAATCATAACCATCTAACACCAGATAGTTTCATAACACGCCATCAACAATCCACATAAACTTCATTGCTCAACTAATTCATATCAAAGGCAAAAAAAAACTCAATAGACAAGAATTCGAGTCAAGAAACTAACTTGGAGGAATAAAAACAGGAGGCAAATGATCAACACCATATTTCTGTTGTACCGGAAGCTGAATTTGAGCAATGTTATATATACCACTAGTAATCCCAGAAATCAAATGCGAATGCCATAGTTCACTCACTGTTACTAACTGAACCAAACAAATCCAAAGCACAATGCTTGAACACAAACGAACAAACCAAAACCTCAAACGTATACCCTCTGATCTAACCTCCATTTCTTATCCACACACCTCATTGCCGCTTCATCGAAACCTTAAAACCTTCACATAAAAAACAAATCAGTATCACAAAAAAAAAACACATTTTTACACATTACATTGTAAAATTCACAACCCTACCTGACACAAAAATGAAAATTCTCTGAAATTAAAACCGACCCAGAATTGAATTATCAGAAAATTAACACGGGCTAGCCTCAAAATCAGATTTTTTTTATCCAAACAGAATTTGAAGTTTTTCAAGAACAGAAAAAAGAAAATTTGGAAGAACAAGAAGAAACAAAGATCCAAGAAAAAGGATCAAACCTGAAACATCAAACAGAAATGAGAAATGGGTTGTGAAAAATGCATTCTTTTCACACTGATTTTGCCAACTGCGATTGGAAACTCTATCTTTTTATTTTCTCAGTGAAGAGAAAAAGAAATAATATTCGGTTTTTATTGAATTTTGATTTTTGTTTTTTTCATTCACGTGAATTTTTAAAAGGGAAATTAGTAGCAGAGTTAGTTACCTTTGTTGATGAAATGATGATTATTTAATGCTAAAAAGGATGCGAATATTATAAAAGTGGAAAGAAAGAAAAATCAGTTGTTATTAGTATTAATTTCTAGTATATATTGTTAGAGGACTATTAATTGATGCAATCTCTCTGTCTTATTTTATTATTGTCGTAATAATTTAATGTGTTTATTGAAAACTTACAATTTTTTAAATATGTTGTCAATTTATTTTATAATGTCTTTTTTTTTTAATTTCAGTTTTTAATTGAGTTGAAAAAATTTTAATCTTTATTTTTTATTTTTTAAAAAGTTAATGTATATTTATTATAATTGGTGATTGACTTACTGAATTGATAAGTAATGAATCGTGAACGAATTTCTAAAGTATAACATCATTCTGAGTTTGTTCATTCTAATATCAAATATAATCAAATTATCAAATAAAGAATATGAGTTAATACTATTACTATTTATCTCACCGATGAAATCATAAGTTATTTTTAAACTAAAATTTTTATTTATGGTTGAGTTTTTCTTCAGAGTATCAATATTCTTATTGAATGGAGTCTTAATCTTTTCTATCAAAGTACAAATAGATTTTCAGAGATAATTTCCAATCAAGTTCTTATCCGGTCTTCATTCATCTCATAATGAGAGATGAGATATTTAGCTTTTTTGGAGGGATAAATGATGCATATTGATCCTCAAGACTTCTAAGTTAGAGATTCAATGATCTTTTCAAAATCAAATAACATGACCATCATTTAACATCCATCAGAGATGTAGATTTAACGTGCTTCGAGCTAAGATTGAAGAATTAGAAAGGGAGCCACATTTATATTTAGCGATGACTTACACTCGGAGCTTATCATGACTCAAGATCTTCCAACATTTGTCAAGTTAGTTTTATATATATATATATATATATATATATATATATATATATATATATATATATATATATATATATATATATATATATATATATATATATATATATATATATATATATATATATATATATATATATATATATATATATATATATATATATATATATATATATATATATATATATATATATATATATATATATACACATTTGATTCATCATACACAAACTCCTAAAACCTAACCCTTATCTCCTTAAGGACGACATGTATTTTCCCACATCACTAAATAACACTTGTTGTGATGTTGAGTAGAAGACTTTGAATGAAATATTTGTGGATTATCTCAACTTCTTCACACATTAAGACATAAATACTTGTTGTTTGCATCACATAACCTAGACACAAGACGTTTGCATCAAATAACCTAGACACAAGACGGGAAGATTGTGCAAAAGTTATCATTCACCTAAAAAGAGATTGTTAGATTTCAAAGTGTACAATTTTTGTATATTTTATCAAGAATAAAAATAAAAGAGTCTTAAGAAATCATGTGGTAAAGCATAAAGGCTCTTAATTAGGTTATGGGATCTTTAGGGTGATCTTTAATGCCATTACTTTGACTAATCTTATTTGTTGTATAACTTGGTATATTTAAATTAATTTTTTTGTTGAAATAAAAACAAAGTTTATAGCACATCTTTAATAATATTCATTTTCTCTGCATTTTTTCAACTACAAGAACTAAGTCATCTAGAAAGAAAATATATGATATTTTAGGCGCCTCTCCTCTACAAAAAGGTAAGGATTTTCAACTTACATTATTGATCTTATCATAACTTAGATTGACATAATCTTTCTAAAGCAAGTACGAAATGGTAAGGTGAAAAAACAGTTTCCTTGTATAAGACCTCTAAAGGATCTAAATAAGAATTAGGGTCAATTTATACTCATAGAAGCAGAATAAATAAAAGTATGCATCAATTTCCAAAGGTGGGTAGGCATGTTGTGAAGAGACAAAGTATATGTTGGAGAGTTTGAGAGAGTCGGGAGCACCAATAAAACTAATGCTCCAGCTTCACAAGAGATGGAGACGCCACATCTCAACCCAAAAGCTTAAGGTGTTAGGTAAATAGGTCATCTCTCTTATAAATCAAACATTTCACTCATTCATAGACAATGTGGAACTTTAACCATTCATTTTTGCATCCAACATTCTCCTACACAAGTGTGAGTCCCCCACATTCTATAACATGATCCAACACCAGAACAAGTTCCTGCTCCCCCCACCAAGTCGAATCACGACTTTGATACTATTGTTGGAAAGTCCGAGAGAGTCGGGAGTACCAATAAAACTAATGCTACATGACCACAAGAGAGGGAGATGCCACATCTCAACCCAAAACCTTAAAGTGTTAGGCAAATGAGTCATCTCTTTTATAAATCAAACATTTTACCTATTTATAGGCGATGTGAGATTTTAACCACTCACATTTACACCTAATAGTATCTCTAACAAAGCATCATTCAATAAAATCATAAGCTTTCTTCAGATTAATTTTCAAAATCATAAAACATTGTTTACATGCATATTTTTGAGGCTTTGAATAGCTTCATGTAAAACAAGAATATTGTCATTAGTACTTTTTATTGAAATAAAGTCACTATGATGTTTATGATAACATAGTTAAAAATAAATCTAACTCTCTGAGATACTACTTTAGTTGCAGTTTTATAAATCGCATTACAAAGAGAATTTGATTGACTTATGACATTTTAAAATTAAAAGATAATTTTCAAAATCATAAAACATTGTTTACATGCATATGTTTGAGGCTTTGAATAACTTCATGTAAAACAAGAATATTGTCATTAGTACTTTTATTGGAATAAAGTCACTATGATGTTTGTGATGACATAGTTAAGAATAAATCTAACTCTCTGAAATATCACTTTAGTTGCAATTTTATAACTTACATTATAAAAAGAATTTGACTGGCGTATGACATTTTAAAATTAAAAAGATAAAAGTATCGTTCACACAATTTTGTTTTGATATTGAGTTGACTGTAATTCTTATTCTTTTCAAAATGTCATTTTATCAAGTTTAGTATGTATATTTTAGAAAAAGAAAGTATAGTAAAGAGTTAAATTGTATGAAATATAGTAATAAAATATATCAATAAGTGTTTTTAATATGTTAGATCATATAACTCTTAATAAATACTCCATATTTTCATGTATCAAGAAACATGTGTTAAGAGATTGTACTGTTAAGTGCTAACACTTTTTAATGAATATAAGACACGTGGAGACTTCTTTTTAAGTAAGACTAACTAAACTCGAACAGTAGTATTAACAGTTTGACTTAGATACAATATTTTAACATTAAAATACTAATTAGACATTAAACGAGTAAGATTAAAACGTTGACTAAATGGTGCATAGAGAGAGTATACATAGTATTGGTACGAATCTTTATACTTAGAAATGACAAAAAAAAATGGCATCATAAAAAACATAATGACAAAAATTCTCTATGTAAATGAAAAAATGCTTTTCACAAATAAATTTAATGATAACATAAAAAAAATTATAAACATTTCATTGTATAAAAGACAAACAAATTTAATTTATTATAGCCAATTAATAATTGATCAATTCTTTTAATTATGAGGACTTTTAATACGTTTTATAAAATATTGAAATGTGGATAAATTTGTACATTCTATACAAATATAAATATAGCTAAATTTAAAATTATTCTTTCTGCAAATATATTAAATTCTAAATTTTCTTATTTCAAGACAATTATTTTTTAATTAATAATATATTTCAGAAAAAAAAGTAGTATCCTTAAAGAGTATATTTTTAAAATAAATAAATAAATATATTTAATAATTAAAATTGCAGAAAATAATATTATTTCATATTCCTTCTTCTTCGGTAAACAACAAAATTATTAATTGGATAATCTTGTAGATTTTAGTCCCATACAACCGTTCTGCATTAAAATATCCAATAAAGACGAAATCTCAACAAGAAATAATAAAAATAAATGAAACACAATCACCTTCCTTAGCAAGAAAATCAACATTATGATTAGCTATAGAGAAAGATGTGACAAGTACTTTAATTAAGAAGTTTTTTAATAAAAAAAATAATATTAATAAAAGAAAAGAATTCGAGCAAAGTTCAATTGAACAACTATACTGCAAAAGATTAACAAGTTACTGAAACAAAACTCTAAAATAAACACCACCCTCAAAGATCTGTACTTACGAGAAGGAGTAGATTTGATCTCAAGTCAATAAAACAATCACTGCTGGATTAAAAACCACTAAAGAAAAAGGAAGGGTATCGACGTCTCTAAATCAGACCAAACTCTTATATGTTATTGATTAATTTAAAGGATGGGATTCTAAAGCCAATATGTGAAGGTGCAAGAGTTTCTAAGTGATCTTCTCAAAAACCATTTTCAAACTAAAAAATACTTTTGTCCTTCATTACTTTCACGTTTGTGACAGTAACCAAAAACACAATCTCATATATGGCCCTCCAAATGGTTCATATCAATGCAACCTCAACCATCTAAAAATCTTATACCAAACTTTACAAACTAAATCACAAATAACAAACAAGTAGAAAGTCGACTCAGGAAAATCACCACATAAAGGACAAATAGTAAGAACATGGTCGAGAATCACTTTTATCTTAAACAAGGTCTCCCTAGATGGAAACCTATCGAGGAGAAGATTCCAAGAGAAAAATAACACCTTTAAGAAGCTCAATTGTCTCCAAATAAGAGAAAGAAAATAAATCCTAGAACATGAGGAAAGATTTTAAACATTTCAATAATCCAAAAGATGGTGATAAGTAGAAGACATTGGTAAATTGTCATCCCTAACAAACTTCTAAATCCACTTATCTATATTCAAAGAAAAAATGACGTCGGATGACCAAAAGGAAATCGGCGACAACAGGTTTCTAATGAAAAAAGAAAGACCTCTTGCACATGAAATCCTAAATGAGGTTCCCTTCAGCCAAACTGCCAATCTCTTTCACACTCTGTCTAGGACAATCATTGATCGAGAATAACCTATAGAACTGATCCTTGAGGTGAGAACTATCAACCCAATGATCAATCCAAAAAAGATGAGAAATAATAAACCTCTTTCAAAGGGGATTCCAGACCCATCTAACTATATTAATAGTTTAGAATTACATTCAAACACTATTTATTTGAGCTTCGTGTTTCAGACCACCCTTACCTCATATAGGAGAAATTTATTTGACATGCTCACGACTATAACTTTCACATCCCACCTTGGATAAAATGATTATTGTCTTTTAATTATATAAAAAAAGTAAAGTCACAGACATAACTAACATTTTTTCAAATTCTTTTAAATCTTTTGTAAAATTTTGATTCAAAGAATTGTATTGATTTAATGATAAGATGTATATTACAATAAACATGTGATCATTTTATATAGCGATTATGAACAACTAACAAATCTTAACAAACTAATAATGACACTAACAGACTAATAACTATATATACTACTAAAAATAAGACATTTGGTTAAATGATTTTACATCAGATTTCAAGATATATGATATGAAAAATATTTGTCAAAAGATTTTACATCAGATTTCATAACAATATGAAGTGAAAAATATTTGATATAGGGATTTTACATCAGACATTTATTTCCACTGATGTGAAAAATAACGCGGTGGCAGTTTCGTAAATAATATAAAATTTTGTTATAAATGATTTCACATTTGACCTGGATTTGCACCCGATGTGAAAAGTTCACTGATGAAAAAATAACAAGGTAGCAGTTTCGTAAATAATATAAAGTTTTGTTATAAAAGATTTCACATCGGTCCTGGATTTGAACCGATGTGAAAAAGTGGACCTTTACATCAGTCTCTTTACAACCGATGTGAAAACTCCAATCTCACTAAAATCCTAACGTAACCTAATATCATTTCTTTTTCTTTCCAAGCGCAGCCGAATATCATTTCTTTTTCGTTCCTGTTCACCTTCAACTTCTCTCTTTTCTCACCCAATCACACAACAAAAGCGAAACCAAATCAACGGTGACGGGAAAAGTGAAGCCAAAGAAGCACACGACGAAGGAGATCCAAGCCAAGGTGAACGTTGCGCTGACCAACCGCGACAGAGGAAAAGCCGGTTTGCTTGATTGGGTCGCTGTTGAAAAAGGAGGAAAAGCCCTCACTGCAAAACAACGGTGCCTGATGTGAAATCGATGCAGATTTATCACGATGCTCGTCACCCAAAGATCCCCTTCGAGGAATATAAGCTCGTGAATCGTCATGCTATTGCGGCTGTTGTTCTAGAATATTCCAAGACTTGCCCTAGTGTCCGTGGTATCCTTAAGGTCGTCGATATTTTTTTCCATTTTCATTCTAAATTCTAACCAATGGCTTCAAGATCTGTGGACGGAGAACAATCAACTCAACTGAAGATGATTATAACGCCATGCTTTCAACCATTGATGTTGAACTTCTCAAACGAGCTTGGCAGAACGAGAAGGCATGCCCTTGAGATTCTTCCTTTTCAATTTGATTTAACCGCTTGTGTCAGAGAACAAATTGAATTTATGGTAACATCTCAAACCCTGTTGCATTTTCCAATTTTTGTTCTGAAAATTGGGAATTCGTTCTTGTGATTTGATTCTTGTTGTGTTGTTTACAGGAAGAAACTATGGAGGAAAAATCTATTGTTGGGATTGACCCTCTTTCAGTGTCTTTGTATCAAATAGACTTGGATAGAACCCTCGTTCTATTTAGGTCGTATCTTCGCATCCGTATCTTTAAGGTAAACAACCATAGAATTAGAGGTTAGTATGGCTGCTATGAATCTTGTGATTAAATTTTGATTTCATGTGTCACACAACCATATTGGCAAATGAAATGGGGCTTGGCAAAAAACTTCAGGTATGTTATTTGTAATACCCCATTTGAATTATTTAGTTATTTTATACTTTGTTGTGTGCGTATTTGTTGTGATGTCCTTGATAAGGGTATGAGGTTCATGGCAAGAGTGAGAGGTGACCTTAGTTGGGGTGAGGTGAAGCTATAATAATGATAATATTAACCATTTAACAACAATAATGAAAGTACTATGGTTATTAATATTATTTAATTGTTATTGATTATAATATTAATAGGATGGTAGTGATTATGATTATTATTATTCATATCATTCTTATTATTATTATTATTATTATTATTATTATTATTATTATTATTATTATTATTATTATTATTAATTAGATTAATAGACTTAAAATCTGATTAAGGGGGTTAAGAGAGGGTTAGTGGAAGAATTAGTTTGTTAACACGTGAAAGAGGAAAAAGGCAGAGAAAGGAGAGCTAGGGAAAAGAGAGACCAATTCTCCATTGTTGTCAAGGAAAAAGCTTCAATTCAAGGTAAGGGGGAGAATGGATTTCAATATGGGTGATTTAACATGAGAGGGTAGTGAGAGGTCCTTTCTCTCGTAGGAATTCTATTTGTTCTTGCTTATTGGTTGGATTTTTGTAACAGTATGATTTTCCTTGTAATTGCTGTCAATGTTGAATATTCTGGTCTGGTGTTGGGTGAACAAATCTAGAACTGATCTAAAATTCGTGTGAAAAGTTATGAACACTGTGGTGAAATTATGACAGATGTTAGATCTGCGAATTAAGAGTTTAACAGTAATCGAATATAGATCTAATAAATAGAATCTTGAAAGAATAGAAGATAGGATTCATTGGAATCGATTAAAATCTGAGTTTTAGGATGAGTGGGAAGGTAGGATGATGGATCTTGAAAGAAAACTCGTGGGAATGCTGAGATCTAGGTTTTTTGACAGATCTGATGGTCATACGCGTAATGGGGGTGTCAATGCGCTTATGAGGGACTTCCCAAGGGCTGTACGCGTAGTAGACGTGCCCTGTCCCCAAGGCCAGCACGACCCTCTTGCGTTACACGTACCATACGCGTATGGGCTTAGGCAATACGCATATGAAGGGTAGTCATACGCGTAAGGGGTTGCATGAGGGAATTGGGATGGGTGTCGGCCTCTGCCATTACGTGTAAGGGAGTGTCCATACGCGTATGTGATAACGAGAAAACGCATCGATTATATTGCTAGGTTTCATTAACGTTTTATCGCATATTCACCGTTTTAACACTCGATTTCTCGAGTTTTTCTTACCATTTTGCAGGTACATCATTATATGGAGCTAAATCATGAATTAAGAGCAAAAGGAACAAAAGAAACCATAAAGAGATGAAGAAATGAAGAAGCCTGCAAAAGACTGCATAATTTGTTGCAGTCACGGCCGTCACAAGGGTGTCACGACCGTGACACCCCAATTTGAGCCATCACGACCGTAAGAGAGTGGTCATGACCGTGACACTTAAAAACCACAAGTTACGAACGTGAATACCTTGTCACGACCGTGAAAAGGGTAAAATTAGGTTTTTGACTCAGACTACGTCAAGGCATTACGTGAAGACCATTTCTCCTATTGGCATTACGTGAAGACCATTTCTCCTATTTTGCTGCCACGTTCCTGCATTCCTTCCACAAATTCAGCAAGACCCATGCAACAAAGGTCCAAAAATTCAGCCCATTAAGGATTCTATAAATAGTACAAGTTCTATGAACAAAGGACACGGAGCATTTTTATTCAAATTCCTGCGGAAGCTCTGCCGAACTGTATTACGAACCAGCCTTTCTATTCCTGCATTATTTTTAGTTTTCTGTTTCGTTTTTTTATTGTATCCAAACCCGCCATATAACAATTTCCAACATCAAGAAATTGTTATACATTTATTTGTTTCTAAACCTTCAGCATTCGTTTATTTTCAATTTCCGTCAACTCCAAGCTTTCCGGTCTGTGGAAGAAGGAGTCTGCTCGAATATTTGTTAACCAGGTTTTTCATTATATTGCAATTTAATTTAATTATAATGTTTATTTATTTTTCTGCCATGAGTACGTTATTATTAAATTTTCTGTCTCTGTCTGGTTCAACATCGATGAGTAGCTAAACACCTTAGGGCGGTATGTAGTTATAACAAACTTAACCGGTAAAATATAACCATAGGCTAAAAATAATTAATCACTTAACATTCTGGCTGATACTTTTTAATTGAAATAGATCTTTTCGTTACGAGAGTAAGAAAAGAGTATTAGGTTAGGTCAAGACCACGAGAGTGTGAGATTTTAACCAGATAGCTAAAGTTAGGCATTTAAATTAAACACAGCGAGAGCGCTTTAAGATAAATTAGAATTACTTAGTTTCCAAAAATTACCTCTAAACACTTATGGGCTAGCGAGAGCAGGCATAGGGCTTTAGGGATAAGATCTGATATAAGACCACGAGAGTGTGAGTTGAGGGTATTTAAACTGGTAATCTCTACCGAATAGATTAAGTGAACACCTTTATAAGCCTAGGTTAGATTGACCCACCTAAGTTAGTATAATTACATACCGACCGCCTTAGTATTACTTTATTAAAACTTAAATTTAATTTCGCCTTTAATAGTCTTAAAAATCAACAAAAAATCGTGACAACCATTCGCCTTAGCTAAACTAGAAGTTCATCTAGCACTAAGTAACCATAGAATCCCTGTGGATCGATAATCTTAAATATTACTTCGATAGGCTGTGCACTTGTAGTAAGATACCGCTAGACGCATAAGTAGACACGTCTTTAGCCCATCAAGTTTTTGGCGCCGTTGCCGGGGATTCCTTAATTTAGTTACTAGTGCATTTAGGTAGCATTGTCTAGACTAAGGTATCAACTATTTAATTTAATCTAATCTCCGAGTGTATGCCAAGTACTCGCTCTAAAAGCGAAGACTTGCAACCTCTAATCCCTGAATCAGAACGCTTCTTACACGTAAGAAGACGTATATTCGATTTCGAAAATAATTACAATATTCCAGATCTTCAATTAGATCCGCCTAAACCAGTCGTAAAATCAAAGGACGCAGAGATGGCTGAAGAACAGACTCATCCACTCAAGTATTACGCTAATCCTTCGCAAGCTGAACCGCATTCAAGCATTGCAGCGCCAGCTATCAACCGAAACGATTTCGAACTAAAACCTTCGTTGATATCAGTCGTGCAACAAAATCAATTCGCCGGAAATCCTACCGAGGATCCGAATCTTCATCTTTCGATCTTTGTGCAATATGCAGATACCGTAAAAGCCAATGGAGTTACCCAAGAAGCTATTAGACTACGTTTATTTCCTTTTTCGCTTCGAGACAGAGCAAGAGCTTGGCTTCAATCTCTGCCTTCGAACTCAGTAACTACGTGGGAAGAATTTAAGAGAGTTTTCTTGAATAGGTATTTTCCACCTAGCAAGACAGCTATGCTGAGAGCTTAGATCAACGGATTTAAGCAAAGAGAAAGTGAATCATTATTCGAAGCTTGGGAACGCTATAAGGATCTACTGAGACTTTGTCCACATCATGGATTAATAGAATGGATGGTCATCCATACCTTCTATAATGGACTCTTGTACAATACAAGAATGACAATTGACGCTGCCGCGGGTGGTGCATTGATGGACAAAGAATATAATGACGCCTATGCACTTATCGAAAGTATGACTCAAAATCATTACCTTTGGGGAAGCGAGAGAGTCGCAACTGAGGAACCAACAAAGGGAGGTATGTACGAAGTAAGTAGTATGGACCAAGTCAATGCGAAGTTTGACCAACTAAGCCAAAAGATCGATAACTTGGCCATAACACCTACAGCCACCGTGGCTGCAGTAACACCTAACTGTGAGTTATGTGGAGTCCCAGGACACGAAGTTTCTGATTGTCAACTATTGGCAGGAACTCCCACTGATCAAGTGAATTATGCTTAAGGAAACCCTTACTCAAACACATACAACCCAGGTTGGAAGAATCATCCGAACTTCTCCTATAAGAATAACAATGCTTATTACGCACCAGGTCAAGCACCAGCTACATCACCAGGATATCAAAAGACTGCTCCTAATATCCCTAGAAAATCGAACCTTGAATTGATGATGGAGAACTTTATAGCTAACCAATCTCAAACAAACAAGGACTTCTTAAACCAAAACATTCACACTAGTGAGCAGATTAAACAATTAGTGAGCAAAGTAGATGCATTAGCTACACATAACAAAATGCTCGAAACTCAGATTTCACAAGTAGCTCAACAACAAGCACCTACTGCTGCACCAGCTGGAGTATTCCCTGGACAACCTCAACCTAATCCGAAAGGACATGCTAACGCTGTAATATTAAGAAGTGGCAAGGAACTTGACGGACCTACCGATCCAAGACTTGACAATCCAGCCATGTACCAAAAATCGGATAAACCGACTGAAGTGGTGAATGATCCAGAAGAAAAGGAAGATGACAATCGAGAGGTAGTGGAGAAAGAACAACCTTATGTGCCTCCACCACCCTATAAACCACCAATTCCGTACCCTCAAAGATTAATAAATTCCAAGACAACGGGTCAATTTAAGAAATTTGTCGAACTTCTGAAACAGTTGAATATTACTATTCCGTTTACAGAAGCAATTACCCAAATACCCTCGTATGCTAAGTTTTTAAAAGAAATCTTATCCAATAAGAAAAAGATAGAGGATAACGGAACAGTTACACTTACTGCCGAGTGTAGCGCCATAATTCAGAATAAAATGCCTCCTAAGCTAAAAGATCCAGGAAGTTTCTCTATACCCTGTGTAATAGGAAAATTCGTCATTGACAAAGCTCTATGCGATTTAGGAGTCAGTATTAGTGTTATGCCCTTAACGATTTGCAAAAGGCTAGACATGGGAGACCTAAGACCAACTAA